GTAAGCTAAGCATCCGATTTCATTCTTTTACACTGGATATACAATTTTTCCAACACCATTTATTGAAGAGACTATTATTTCCCTATTGTGTATTCTTGCCCCCCTTGTTGAAGATCAATTTACCATAAATGTGTGGTTTATTTCTGGGCTCTCTATTCTGTTATACTGGTCAGTATGTCTTTTTTTAAAATATATTTTTTATTGGTATCAGAGAGGAAGGGAGAGGGAGAGAGAGAGAAACATCAATGATGAGAGAGAATCATTAATCAGCTGCCTCTTGTACGCCCCCTACTGGGGATCGAGCCTGCAACCCGGGCATGTGCCCTTGACAGGAATTGAACCCAGGACTCTTCTGTCCACAGGCCAACGCTCTATCCACTGAGCCAAACCAGCTAGGGCTCAATATGTCTTTTTTATGCCAGTACAATACTGTTTTGATAACTGTCATTTGAAATCAGGAAATGTAATGCCTCCTGATTTGTTCTTAATAGTGATAGTGCTTTATCTACTTAGGGTCTCTTGTGGTTCCATATGAATTTTAGGATTTTTTTCCATAAATTGCCATTGGGACTTTGATAAGAATTGCATTAAAATATGTAGATAGTTTTTGGTAGTTTCGACATTTTGACAATGTTAATATTTCCAATCCATGAGTATGAAATATCTTTTCATCTATTTCTGTTTATGTTATTTTTTTTCTTTCATTATTTTCCTCAGTATTAATTAGTTTTCTGTTTATTAGCCTTTCAGCTCCCTGGTTAACTTTATTTCTAAGTATATTATTCTTTTTGATGCTTATGTAAATGGAATTATTTTCTTGATTTCCTTTTCAAATTTTTGTATGTTGATTTTGTATCCTGCAACTTGACTGAATTTATTACTTTTAACAGTTTTATTATGAAGTCTTTAGGGTTTTCCACACATAGGATCATGTCATACAGAGATGATTTTACTTCTTCACTTCTAATTTGGTTGCCTTTTATTTTATTCTTGTCTAATTGCTCTCACTAGGACTTCTAGTAGTACTATGTTGAATACAAGTCAGAAGAGTGGACATCCTTGCCTTGTTTCTAATCTTCGAGGATCAGATTTAAGTTTTTCACTGTTGAGTATGAGGTTTGCTATGGGCTTTTCATATATGGCCTTTATTATGTTAAGGTAAATTCCTTCTATTCCTAATTAATTGAACATTTTTATCATGGACTTTGTCAATGCTTTTTCTGCATCAATTGATATGATCATGTGATTTTTATTCCTCATTCTGTTAATGTGGTGTATCACAATTACTGATTTTCATGTGTTGAACCATCCTTATGTTCCAGAGATAAACACCCTTTGGTCATGGTGTAAGACCCCTTTAATGTGCTTTTGAATCCGGTTTACTAATTTTGTGTTGAGGATTTTTGCATCTGTATTGATCAAGGATATTGTCATGTAGTTTTCTTTTCTTGTAATATCTTTTTCTGCTTTTGGTATCAGGATAATGCTGGCCTCATAAAATTAGTTTGGAATTGTTTCCTCCTCTTCGATATTTTGGAAGAGTTGGAGAAGGATTGGCATTAGTTCTTTAAGTGTTTGATAGAGTTCACCCATGAAGCAATCTAGTTCTGGTGCTTTCTTTGTTGGGAGGTTTTGATTACTGATTCAATCTCATTGCTAGTTATAAATCTGTTCACATTTTCTACTTTTATATAATTTAGTCTTAGTGTAGGTTGTATGTTTCCAGGAACTTATTATCTTCTAGTTTAACCAGTGTGTTGGCAAAGAATTGTTCATAGTAGTCTTTTATAATCCTTTTTATTTATATGGCATTAATTATAATGTGTCCTCTTTCATTTCTGATTTTATTTGAGTCTTTTTTATTCTTAGTACTGTTAAAGGTAGTCAATTTTGTTGATCTTTTTTAAAAAACTAGCTCTTGTCCTGATCAGTTTGGCTCAGTGGATAGAGCGTCGGGCCATGAACTGAAGGGTCCCAGGTTCGATTCTGGTCTAAGGGCATATACCTTGGTTGCAGGCTTGATCCCCAGTAGGGTGTGTGTAGGAGGCAGCTGATCAATGTTTCTCTCTCACCAATGTTTCTAACTCTATCCATCTCCCTTCTTCTCTGTAAAATCAATAAAATGTATTTTTTAAAATAAATAAATATTTTTTTTAAAAAAACACAAACTAGCTCTTGCCCAGCCAGTGTTGCTCAGTGGTTGAATGTCAACCCAGGAACCAAGAGGTCATCAGTTTGATTCCTGGTCAGGGTATATGCCAGGGTTGCAGGCTTGATTCCCAGTAGGAAGCGTGCAGGAGGCAGCCGATAGATGACATTTCTCATTGATGTTTCTATCTCTGTCCCTCTCCCTTCCTCTCTCTCTAAAAATCAATAAAACATTTTTTTAAAAAGAATATTCTCTTTTTTAAAAAAACTACCTTAATTTAGTTGATTTTTAAAAATTGTTTCTGTAATCTATGTTTTATTTATTTCTGGTCTAAACTTTATTATTTTTTCTGCTAACTTTGGGCTTAGTTCTTTTTCTAATTTTTCTTGAGGTATAAAGTTGTTCATTTGATGTTTTTCTTCTTGTTTAATATAAGCATTTATCACTATAAACTTCCCTCTTAGTACTGCTCTTGCTACATATCACATTTTATATTATGGTTTCATTTTTTTATCTCAAAATATTTTCTTTTTTTATATATATACACGTGTGTGTGTGTGTGTGTGTGTGTGTGTGTGTGTGTGTGTCTTGATTTCAGAGAGGAAGGGAGGAGATAGAAACTTCAATGATGAGAGAGAAACATTGATTGGGTGCCTCCTGCACACCCCACACTGGGGATAGAGCCCACAACCTGGGCATGTACCCTGCCCAGAATTGAACCATGACCTCCTGGTTCATAGGTCAGTGCTCAACCACAGAGCCATACAGGCTGGGCTTTCTCAAGATATTTTCTAATTTCGCTTTTAATTTTTTCTTTGACATATTAGTTAATCAAGAGTAATTTATTGAGCCTTAGCTGGTTTGGCTCAGTGGATAGAGTGTTGGCCTGTGGACTCAAGGGTTCCAGGTTCAATTCCGGTCAGGGAACATGCCTGGGTTGTGGGCTTTATCCCCAGTGGGGGCATGCAGGAGGCAGCCAGTCAATGATTCTCTCTCATCTTTGGTGTTTCTATCTCTCTCTCCCACTCCCTTCTTCTCTGAGTTCAATGAAAATATATATTTTTAAGTAATTTATTGAATTTGCACATATTTGTGAATTTTCTAGTTTTCCTTCTGCTATTGAAAGCAAGATATTGAAATCTAATAGTATTGTGTTGCTATTTTCTGTCTTCAGTTCTCTCAATGTTTGCTTCATATATTTAAGTGTTCTGAATGTTGGATGCATATATATTTATAATTGTTATACCTTCCTGGTGCATTAACCCTGTTACCATATAATGTCCTTTTTTGTCTCTTATGACCGTTTTGACTTAACGTCTATTTTTTTCTGATACCCCTGCTCTTTTGGTTACCATTTGCATGAATATTTTTTTCTATCCTTCCATTTTCAGCCTGTATGTGACCTTAAATCTAAAGTGAGTTTCTTGTAGATGGCATACATGGATCTTATTTTTTATTCATTTGGCCACTGTATATGTTTGACAAAGGAGTTAAACCCATTTACATGTAAAGTAATTTATTGATGGGGAAGGACTCCCTATTGCCATTTATTAGTTGTTTTCTGTCTTGTAGCTCTTTTGTCCCTCTTTTTCTCTCAATGTCTGCCTTAGTGGTTTATTGATTTTTTTGTAGTCATATGCTTTTTCCTCTCTCATTTTCTTTTGTGAATCTTCTATAGGTATTTTCTTTATGCTTACAGTCTGGGCTTACTTAAAGTTTTAACAAGTTTCTTAGCGTTATAACAATCTATTTTAAGCCAATAAGAGTTTAAGTTGGGTCACGTTAAAGAGCTTTTTTAAATTTTTTTGAATAGATAGAATAGTGTCTCTTATTTCTCTTAGGGTATTCGTGATAATTTTTGAAGATTTTTTTTTCTTTGCATGGTCTCTGTTTACTCCTATTTGCTTTCCTTTCTGTTTGTTTGTTCTGCGCTCTCTCTTTCACGTTAGTCTTTCCTCAGATGCCTGATGATCCATACTCATATTTATGAGTAGGAGCCAAAAACAGATTAGAAACTTTGAGTACATGAGTGGTTCTTATTGACTTTGAGCTTCACTTTACAGTCATCTGACTGGTCCATTTGTTAGAGAAATTCCCCATCCCAAATTAGTATTTTTAGATCTTTCTTCTTGGGGCTAGTCAGATTCTTCAGAGAAGACACAAACTATTGCTTGGGAGGGTACTACCAGCAATGTAGGAGCCAAATGGGGGAAACTGTCTGGGGTATCCTCAGTATTCAATATGAAGTATTTATCTTAATTATCTTGCTTTCAGAAACATTATTCAGACCTTTAACTGTATCTAGCATTCCCCATATTCAGAGAATAAACCTCCAGTATTCACCAAGATTGGGAGTGGCATTTACCCAGCGGCATTATTGAAGGGAAGGGGGTGGGATATTTTAAAGGAGAGTTGGTTTTTAAACAACTTTCAACCGAACACCTTATTTTAACCCCGCCTTTACATCCATCTCCAGAGATACCTGAAACTATCAATTTCTGAACTGTTTGAGAATTCTTAAGGTGTATATTGGATTGGTTTCTGGCTTTCGCCACTGCTGATTGAAGATTCAGCTTTCTTGAGTATACCCATCCAATATTTTTCAGCTTCCAGAATATTGTTGCTATTGCTTCTTTTCCTTGTTCTTCCTAACCTTGTAGATTTGTGTGTGTGTGTGTGTGTTTAAATTCTACAGTTTTTGAGATTTTTTGAGATTTTTCTGGAGAGAGTGAAATTAGATGCATGTGTTCAATCCACCATCTTTATCTAAAACTAATGAATTCTATCCACAATGAAATAGTTGCCTTATTTCCCTTATGTAATATTTTTGTTGATCTTCTATTTATATTAGGTGTTATACCTGAAGAACCTTAGCCCTCGGGTGACCGAAAGAGATCTTGTCTCATTGTTCGCTCGGTTCCAGGAGAAAAAAGGACCTCTAATTCAATTCCGAATGATGACTGGACGAATGAGGGGGCAAGCTTTTATCACCTTTCCCAGTAAGTAGCTTTATCTTGATAATTACTCAGTTGTAGCATCAGCATTAGAGACTACTTATACCCTTTCTAATATACTAGTAGGTACAGTCCTTTGATTTACCTATAACACATGAGAAGCATGTGCTTAAACAAGCACATGGGAAGAATGGAAGAGAATTAAGCAAAGTGTTTTCAATATTCCTCTATCCTGCCTTCTGTGCTTCCTCTCCTCCATTGACTGTGCATGACCACCTTACTCCATTGTCTTCAATTTTTCCCAATCTTGGCACTTTCTTCTCACTTTATCAAAATTAATTTTACCTTTTTAAAAAATGTACTTTTATTGATTTCAGAGAGTTAAGGGGAGGGAGGGAGAGATAGAAACATCAATGATGATAGAGAATCATTGATCGGTAGCCTCCTGCATGTCCCCAACTGGGGATGGAGTCTGCAGTCTGGGCATGTGCCCTTGACTGGAATCGAACCCGGGACCCTTCAGTTCGCAGGCCAACGCTCTATCCACTGAGCCAAATTGGCCAGGGGAAAGTTAACTTGACCTTTAAAAATTTTATTTTACTCTTGCTCACAAAGGACTACTAGTGTTTGTAGTCCATTATAATTATATTACTTTTGGGATTCTGATCAGAACACTTACACTTGCTTAATGCTCTATTCCTTTAGGACTGAGAAACTATAAGGTAATATGCTAATTCACTAGTAATTCATAATTAGGGCATGATGATATATTCTTATAACTAGTTTGCATCTTAATACATGATTTCAGTATCCTAATCTAAAGGGAGCAAATAATACAGGAATTTCAGTTTCTTGGACAGACCAAACTATCTTTTTATTTATTTTTTTTTTGGTGCAGGCTGGTTACTAGCTGTTCCTTTCATTATTTCTAAACTATCATCATTTATAAACAGCCTAGTAAATTATGTACAGGCAAGTAATTTATACTTGAGCAGTTCCAAACTCCACTAGTCTTGCACCATCTTTGCTAAGGTTTGTGGATGTTCTACAGTAGTGGTTTTTAGTCCTTTTAATTGTGAAGGCCCTTTTAAAACTTAATATGATACATTAATTGAGAAAAATATATGATAAAAAGGCTTTATAAAGTAAGTACTTTCAAATGGATAGCTGTTTTACTAATCATAATAGCAGCTATCCACATTTTAAAATTTGTAGTACATACATAAATTGGTTCAGTCTAAAGATATTGCCTGTCTACTTTTGATTTCACAGACTCCGGTCAATAATTGCACTCCTTTCTGATTTTCCACATCAAGGGTCTGAGACACATAAGTTGAATACTACTACTGTACACTATGTACTGTTACTCTGCAAATTTCCATATACTTACAAGGATTATTACACTTATTTATCTCAATGAGGGCTCCCACAATCACTCTCCCATCAAAAGATAAAAGTAGCAAAATGACCTTAATACCATGATAACCTCTTTTATTTGTGTTGCCCATTTTGAAAATGACTTAATTCTTACAATACCTATAATCTGTTATCTAGGATAGAAGCTTGTGTATTAGTAGTTACAGTTTAGCCTTCTTTTGCACACTATCTATATTTTTCTTTATATTTTTAAATTATGAGGCACTCTCAAACAGCCATTTTAAGTTTTTCCAGTCATTATTTTTAGCCATTAGTTTAATCTTGCTGAATTATGCAAATATGAGATTATGGAAAAGATAATAAAATCAAATAGCTATATGGCCTAATAGCCTACATTTAACTCCAAGGCAAAAAAAAAGAAACAAATTGGAAATAGAATTGTAATATTAAATCCTGTGTAAATTGATTATTTTTCCTTTCTTTTAGATAAGGATATAGCATGGCAAGCATTCCATCTAATAAATGGATATAAACTACATGGGAAAATTTTGGTGATAGAATTCGGAAAGAACAAAAAACAACAGTCTGATCTCCAGGCTGCTTCTCTCAAATCGTCTGCTACAGAAAACACTACAAAAACCAGTGGCAGCTAGAAGATATATAGATTATGAGTTCCAGGAAGTCCTTCTTGCATCAGAATCTTGGATCTAGGATTTCTATATAGATAGCAATGTGTTTGGAATTGAAGAGAAACTGAGGAAGAAAAATCTAATTAAGGTAATCGCTTTAGCTTTTGGAAAGAATTGGTAGAAAACATTTTCTATAATCAAAGACTATACAGGATAGACAAGATACCAAGTGTGAAGGGTAGGGTACAAAGAGTATCATTTTCTCAGGATAAATTACAAAGGATTATTTCCAAGGATATTTTAAATCTTTATACTTTATCTGTGGTCTTAAATACTTATCCCTAGAGATAACATTCTTTCCAAGACTGCCACCTATATACAGAACTAAAAAACTAAATGTTGAAATATTTATTTATTAGAGCCCATTTGTTCCTAATTGTATTCACATAGTAAATAAATGACTAGGACCCGGGCCTAAACATCAACAAATGCTGTTAAATGAGAAATATCAGCAATAACAGTAGGGTCTAAGACACATGTTGGTACACATATTTAATGAATTCTTTCTATTAAGTTATCTGTGTCTTCAAAAAGCCATATATTTTTCTAATGAAAGCATCTAGATCTAAATAGTGATGTGCCCCTGGTCATTAAACTAGCTACCATTGAGTAATCATTGAATCCCAAGCAATAAACATTGAATAATCATCTAATATATGTTAGGTATATGCATTTTAGAAGAGGAACATACTAGAAAAAATACTAAAGGGGAAATGGGAAGAAAGAGTTCTCTAGAAGAGAGGCAGCCACTCCCAAATTCCCCACTTATTTGTTTATAGTTGCTGGAGAAATGAAAGACAATATGGTATAGAGGAAGTGGTACAAACTTTGGACTCACACCTGTGTTTGAACTTCACAGCCACACTTACCACTCCATGACCTTGACAAGTCACTTAGTCTGAGCCTCAGTTTTCTCATCTATAAAATGAAGATAATAATACTACTTACCTCATTGAGTTGTAAGAATTAAATGAGATGGTATTATCCAGGCTGAAGAACAGAAGAAAAAAAAGAACAGAATATACAATCATTAAGTACTCCAACATACTTGCAATGGGAGTACCAGAAAAAAAGAGAAGAGAAAGAAAGCAGAAAAAATATTCTAATAAATAATGCCTGTAAGCATCCCAAATTAATGAGAAGCATTATCTTCACATCCAAAAATCTCAGTGAACTTCAAGTAGGGTAACAAGAAGAAATCTACAGACACATTAAAATAAAAATGCTAAAACACAAAGACAGAAAGTCTTGGAAGCAACATGAGAAAAATTAAACATCACTCAATGGATTGCCAATAAAATTAACAGCTAACTTCTCATTAGAAACAATGGAGGTGGCAGTGGGATAACATATTCAAAGTGCTCAAAGGAAAAAATGTCAATATAGAATCCTACACCCAATAAAACTATTTCTCAAAAATGATGAAACAAAGACATTCCCATATAATCAAAAACGGAGAATTTGTTGGCACACCTGATTTACAGGAAATAGTAAAGAAAGTTCTTCAGGTGGAAAGCAAGTGACCTCAGACAGTAATTTGAATCTAAACATGCAAAAAATAACATGGGTAAATTTAATTATCCTATATAATAAAAGGCTAATATGCAAATCGACCGAACGGTGGAATGACCGGTCGCTATGATGCGCACTGACCACCAGGGGCAGACTCTCAACTCAGGAACTGCCCCGTGGTGGTCAGTGCACTCCCACAGGGGGAGCACCGCTCAGCCATAAGCTGGGCTCATGGCTGGCGAGCGCAGCAGCGGTGGCAGGAGCCTCTCCCGCCTCTGTGGCAGCACTAAGGATGTCCGACTGCCAGCTTAGGCCCAAGGAGCAGGCCTAAGCCATCAGTTGGACATCCCCCGAGGGTTCCCGGACTGCAAGAGGGCGCAGGCCGGGCTGAGGGACCCCCCGGAGTGCACATATTTCATGCACCAGGCCTCTACTGTAATTGTAAAAGACAGTTTAACTTCATTTTCCTTTTAATTAAAAAGTTTTATAGACCAGTATGTATGTAGTTGCCTATAACATATGAAACTGTAATATATTTGCTAATTACAGAACAAAGGAAGTGAGTGGAAGCAAAGCTATTGAACTAAAGAAGTGACTCCAAATGGTAACTCAAATCCACTGGAACAAATGAAGAAAACAAAAAAAGGGGAAATAAGGTTAATATAAAAAGCTATAAATATATACTAGCTCTGCTTTCTTCTCTCTCCACTTCTTTAAGAGACATGAAATTATGTTAAGTAGTAATTATAACAATGTATTATGTTTATAACATGTAGAAATAATATATATATAGCAATAATATAAAGAAGTAGGAAATGGAGTAGGTTTATATAGGAATAAGTTTTTATATCTCATCGGAATTAGGACATATCTGAAGACAATTTAGTTAGAATGTGCATGGTAAATCTTAGAGTAATCACGGTAATAACTGAAAATACATAGTGAAAATATTTAAAATTTAAATGTTACATTAGAAAAATTTCAATGTAAAGTAGTGCAAAAGGAGAAATGGAGAAACAAAAGCACGAGACATATAGAAAACAAACAGTAAAAATGTAATCCTAAATATACCTATATGAATAATAATAATTATGAATGGATTAAACAATGCAATCAAAAGGCAGAGATTGTTAGCCTGAGGGGGGATGAGGGGGACAAGATTTACCTCTATGCAATTTATCAGAGTCGTAGATTCAGAGAAACAAACAGATTAAAGGTAAAAGGATAGAAGGAATTTTAGGCAAACGACAACTATAAGAAAGTTGGAGTGACCATACTAATACCAGACAAAGTGCACTTTAAAATGATGACTGTTACTAGAGATAATGAGTGACATCTTATAATGATAAAAGAATCAATACATCAGAATAATATAAAAATTATAAATATGTATGCACCTAACAACAGAGCACCAAAATACATGAATCAAAAACTGAACTAAATAAAGGGAGAAATATACAAGTGTACAATAAGAGTTGGGGAGTTTGCTACCCCATTTTCAATAATAGAATAACTAGACAGAAGATAAACAAAAAATTAGAAAACTTGAGAAATGCTGTCATGTACTAGGTGTACCAGTAAATAATGCGTATTTTTTTCAATAGATGAAGTTACACATATGTTGATATATATGCGATTTGATATGTATGCTCTTCTGTTGTATGGACAAGAAGCTTCAAAACTTCATATGTCAAATTTTCTGAAGGTGTTAACATCATAGATATTTTTACACTTAAAAATGTCAAATTTCATGCCAAAAAAAGAGCATTTGCAGGAAGTTTTAATTCATTACTTTATTTTGAGGAAAAGTGCTGCTGAATACTTTGAGAAGCTTATGGTGAACATACTCCATCTCAAGATACTTGTGAACGCTGGTTTAAATGCTTTAAAAGTGATGATTTTGATGTGAAAGACAAAGAACATCCAGGTCAACCGAAAAAGTTTGAAGACCATCAATTACAAGCATTATTGGATGAAGATGCATGTCAAATCAAAAACAACTTGCAGAGAAATTAAATGTTGCTCAGCAAACAATTTCTGATCATTTACAAGCAATGGGAAGATTTTAAAGGAAGGAACATGGGTGCCACATCAATTGAACGAAAGACAAATGGAAAACCGAAAAGTCATCAGTAAAATGTTGCTTCAACAACACAAGAGTCTTTTTTTGCATCATATTGTGACTGGCAATGAAAAATGGATTTTGAGAATCCCAAATGCACAAAATCATGGGTTGATCCAGGTCAACCATCAACATGGACTGCAAGGCCAAATCGCTTTGGGAAGAAGACAATGCTCTGCGTTTGGTGGGATCAAGAAGGGGTGGTGTATTATGAGCTTCTAAAACCAGTTGAAACCATTAATACTTGATCACTACCATCAACAAATAATCAATTTGAACCACATTTTGATTGTGAAACGACCAGAATGTTCCAGAAGACACTGCAAAGTAATTTTGCTTCATGATAATGCACCATCACACACTTCAAAACCAGTTAAACACACGTTAAAAGATCTTGGCTAGGAAGTATTAACCCACCCGCTGTATTCACCATACCTTGCTCCTTCAGATTACCACTTGCTCTGATCGATGGCACACGCACTTTCTGAGCAGCACTTCAAAACGTACAAAGAAGTGGAAAATTGGGTCTCTGAATGGTTTGCCTCACAACAAGAAAAGTTCTATTGGGACGTATCCACAAATTACCTGAAAGATGGGGGAAATGTGTAGCTAGTGATGGACATTACTTTGAATAAAGCACTTTTGATGTTTCTCTTGAAATTATCATGAGGGTTTTTTTATTACAAAGTCCGCATTATTAACCGGTACACCTAGTATATCTTAAAGAGATCTATAGAATACTTCACCCAACAAGAGCAGAATACACATTCTTCTCTAGTGCACATGAAACATCTACAGGATGTACCATAAAACAAACCTCAAATATAAGTAGACTGAAGTCATGCAAAGTATTTCTCAGGACCACATAGAATGAAACTAGAAATAAATAACAAAGTTAGAAAACTAAAAAATATGAATTAAACACACTTTAACATGACTAGTGGGTTAAAGAAGAAATCACAAGAGAAATTAGGAAATCTTTTGAGGTGAATGAAAATGAAGACGCAACATACCAAGACTTTTGGGATGCACCTAAAGCAATATTTTAAAAATTATAAGTACAAATGCCTATATTTTTAAAAGATCACATATCACTAACCTCACTTTATACCTTAAAACACTGGAAAAAGAGGATCAAACTAAGAGTAAGCAGAAGGAAGAAAAAAATGTTTAAATGATAATGGAGAATAGAAAAACAGTTAAGTCAGTGAAATCAAAATTGGTTTTATAAAACGCTTAAGTGACAAACCTTTTGGTAGATTGACCAGAAAAAAATGAAAACCCAAATTACTAGACTCAGAAATTAAGGAGGAACATTACTACCAACCTTATAGAAATAGAAAGCATTATGAAGGAACACTATGAATAATCATATGCCAATATATATAATACCCAGATTACTGAAGCCAATGAAAAAAATTTGAAGAGACCTGTACCAAGTAAAGACGTTAATTAGTAATGTTTTTAAATACAAAGAAAAGGCCAGGCTCAAATTGCTTCTCAAATGAATTCTAGTAAATATTAAAGAAGAATTAATACAGATTCTTCACAAACTCTTTCAAAAAGTAGGAGAAGGGAACACTTCTGATATGTACTACAACATGAAAAAACCTGAAAACATGCTGAATGAATTAACAGGAACAAAGACTACATATTATATGATTCTATTTATATGAACTGTCTAGAATTGACAAATATAGAGACAGAAAATGGATTAGTAATTGCTTAGGACTGGGAGTGTGAGATTTCTTTAGACAATGAAAATGTTCTGAAATTGATTGTAGTGATCATTGTATAATACTAAATACTAAATATACTACAAACCATGATTGTAAACTTTAAATGGGTAAATTTTATGGTATGTGAATTATATCTCAGTCACACGAAAAAGAAATTGAATGCAACCCAAATGTCCAGCAGTAAGAGAATGGATGAATAAATTATAGAACATTCATTTAGTGGAATACTCTATAGCCATTAAAATAGTGGGGCATTTCTAGGAATACATTCTGAATTGTATGGTGTCCATGGTTTTATATCAGGTTAAAAAGCAAGAAATATGTACAGATGATCCGTAAACAACATGGCTTTTAACTATGCAGGTTTATTTGTACATGATTTTTTTTTCAATAAATACCTGTGATGTTTCTATCTGTGGTTGGGAGTCCATAGAGGCAGAGGGCTGACTATGCATTAATCTATACCATTTTACAGGACTTTAGCATCCACAGATTTTTTTTTTTTATTTCTGAGCATTCATGGATTTTAGTATTTGCAGGGTGTTCTGGAACCAATCCTCATGGATACCCAGAGACCACTAGGTTTCTGGGGAGTCAAAAGTAACATACATGTGGATTTCTGACTGTGTGAGATATCGGTGCCCCTAACTCCCACATTGTTCAAAGGTCAACTGTATAATATGAATACATTTTTTGTAAACAAAAGCATTTGTATATATAGTATATGTATATATAGCTATTTCTAAATAAATTTAGGAAAAAACTGGGAAATATACATACCAAATTGTAAATCTTTTAGAGGTGGGATTGGATGGGCTGAAAGGGGACTTTTGCTCTATGAAATTTTTTAAGTGGTATAGTTTGAGGTGATTTTTTTACGATTTTCAGCATTTTTTTAATTTAAAGTTTTTTTTTAATACTCTGCCAATGATGGCTTCCAGACTATTCGTCAGACCTGCTCTGAGGATATCATCTAGCTATACTCAGGGCAAACTTCTATTTCTTTGATATATTGCTCACTTAGGATTAAATCTCCACTCTTAAATGTAGTTTAAGGGACAAGAAGTAAGTTATCCTGTTATAACCTCTTGCACATGTTACACAGGGTCATACTTCTAACCTTGACTTTTCAGGAGGAATTTCTTCCTATTGAATGGAAAACCTCACCTATGCTCTTTACTAGATCTATGACCACTAGCAATAGAGGAAAATAAAAGTGGAGGATGAACCTCAACTGGTGCATATATACTAGTAAACTGGTATATCCATACAATG